AATGAGCGGGCGGGCTGTTCAGGACTTTTGTGAATATATGTACATATATGTTTTTGCCACGCTTGACTTCCGCTAAAACTTTCAGTTCTTGTTATCAGTTTTTGTTCCGACGTTGGTCGGATAAGATGTTATAACCGTTTTTAATTATCAGTTTAAAATTTTTACGGTTTTCAGAAAAATTAAGTTTTTCACGGTAGCATCCCGAATCAGTTTTCGCAAAATAAGTATTTTATTTATTTATTCAGAAAATTGCGAAAAATTGCGTAATCTGATAGTAGTAAAAAGTCGGGATGTTACAATTGGTATCAGAGCACGTTTCTGCGTCTCTGAAAAGTTTTTAGTTAGTAATTTTCAGAAAAACCTAAACCGTCACGCTCACGCCTCGCCGACTCCAGGTAAGTGCTGATTCAGTTTTTCAGTTATAAACATATTACTTTGTCTATGCTCAGAAATCAGTAATCAGACTTAGTTAAGATGCTCGATTCAGGTTCAGACTTTAGAGTTCGTATATAACTCTAGAATTCAGTACATTCAGACTTGACTTTAGAGATCAGTATATTCAGGCATGACTCTAGACTTTAGTATCTTTTGATATGACTCTAGAGTTCCTCAGGCTTCACGTCAGTAATTATCGGCCATTTTTGGCTACTCGTCAAGAGATTTGTGTACCTCAGTAATCAGTCAGAATATCATCACGTGTTCAATAATTTTGAACTTTCTCAATGTTCAGATGTCGCCACGTAGGGAACCCGATCATCCGGCTCCTACTCAGGCTACAGTGGTCGCGCAGTTCCGCGACTATCATGCCGAAAAGTTCTCAGGGCAGGGAGATCCTCGCATAGTTGACGAGTGGATTCAGGGCTTGGAGTTTATCTTCGAGGTCATGGAGTGCCCTGAGAGATATCGCGTCATTTGCGCTCAGCTTCAGCTCACCGGTGATGCTAGGCTCTGGTGGAACGCTTACTGGAGCATGCGTCCCGGCGAAAAGGCGGGTTGTACGTGGGAGATGTTCAAGGAGTTAATTCGCGAGAAGTACTACCCCACAGACTACCGAGCCGAGATGGAGCGTCAGTTTCTATCGCTCCAGCAGGGTACTCGTACTGTTGACGAGTACGAGAGGGAATTCACGAGACTTGCAGCTTTTGTTCCTGATTTGGTCCGCACGGAGGCCCAGCGAGCGCAGCATTTCATTGACGGGCTTTACCCAGCAGTCCGTCATAACATCGTAGGCCACGGGACACAAACGTACGCACGTGTAGTCTCCATTGCCCATGAGGTGGACGCCAGCATTAGGAGGGAGGCCGTTCGTGAGCAGTTCCAGCCATCCGCCCCTGATCAGTGATCTTCAGTTCCACCGTTGCCAGCTCTACCATCTACCCAGCCGCCAAAGAACAACAAGAGAAAAGGGAAAGGAGCCCCGGCAAATAAGAGGACCCGAC